TTTTTTTCTGTATAATTATGGTCATATTTCCATAATTCTCAAGAGGATGGTTTTGATTATTGCCAGGTATTGTGAATGATTCCTTGTGTGCCAGTGGAGATCTGTGTTCATTTCTAAGCATTTTAAAATATCTTTTTTCTGTATATCACTGGAAACAGTTCAATATTTATGTGACAGAGAAGTGTGTGCCTGTGAGTGACGTCGGCAGCATCCTCTGTCAGGGCAGGCATCCCTCTGGTCCATTCTATTCCTCCCTCACCCCTGTGCTCCCCAGTGCTCTTGGGAATCTGAGCACAGCCCCAGGGTCGCTCTCTGCTCTTGCTCTTCTCTGTCCCCTCAGTCCTTCCACCTGGGCCCTCAATGCCCACAACTGCTGGGCCAAGAAAGCACATGGCAGCCTCGTCCTGTGGTCTCACTTCTCCTGATCTGCCCAGGGACCTTTCTTCAATAAAGACTGCTTGAATCGGGCCTCCCCGGTGGCGCAGCGGTTGAGCGCTGGGTTGCGAAGCTGCCCGCGGCCTCTGCGGCGCCGGTTCGATCCCCGGCTGCTCCCCGGCCACCAGAGGAGGGTCCCACATGGTGCGCAGACCTCTCCTGCCGCCCGCTGCTCCCCTCAGCAGTGTACTTCGGTCCTTCTGCCTGCTCTGCTCCCCACTCTGGCTCTGGTGAATTCTCTCACCCTCCCGTGCTTCTGCCTGTACCCAGTGCATGTATAAACAAAACAAACAAACAAATAAATAAATAAATAAAACATGCCTCTATTAAAAAAAAAAAAAAAAAAAGACTGCTTGAATCTGGCAGAAGGCTCCCCGTGGAGCCAGAGGGAGAAGGTTCCCTGCGCAGTCAGAGGTGAGCTGAAAGCCCCGACAAGCCTGGTCCCACCTGGCAGGAAGTCGGAGCCCAGGGGAGGATCCAGAGATTTGGAACCCAGAGTGCAATCCAGCTGCCCTACCTCCAGGGAAGTCTGTGGGACTTCAAGACACACATATGCAACTAAACACAGAAGGAGGAGAGATTCTGTGACAGTGACCATTAACATACTCAAAGTACCACTGCCTCACTTGACTTCTGGCACACAGTTTTTGACTTGTTTGGATTGCTAGCTTCTGAAACTCCCGAAAGAACACACCAAAAAGATGTCAGCCAGTACCAGTGGCACAATATCCCAACACATAAGGCAAATTAGAAGACAGGCAGCAGGGAAAAGAAAAACTACAAGCAAAGTAGAAACACTTCAGAAAAAAGACACATCACAAAAAAAAAAAAAAAAAAAAAAAAAAAAACACACACCCACCAGCCTGGGACCTGATGGATTTACAAATGAATTCTACCAAACGTTCAAAGATGAATTAGTGCCTATCCTTCACAAACTCTTCCAAAAAATTGAGAAGGAAGGGAGAATACCAAACATGTTCTATGAAGCCAACATTACACTAATACCAATACCAAAACCGAATAAGGACAACACAAAAAAAGAAAACTAAAGGCCAATCTCCCTAATCAACACTGATGTAAAAATCCTCAATAAAATTTTAGCTATCAGAATCCAACAATGTATCCATAAGATAATTCACCACGACCAAGTAGGATTCATTCCAGGAACACAAAAATGGTTCAAGATCTGAAAATCAATCAACGTTATCCAACACATCAACAAAATAAATATAAAAGCCATATGATAATATCAATAGATGCCAAGAAAGCTTTTGACAAAGTGCAACACCCATTAATAATAAAAGCCCTTGAAATTCTTGGGATACAAGGAACATACCTCAACATCATATAGGCCATATATGACAAGCCAACAGCCAGTATCATTCTCAGTGGTGAAAACCTGAAAGCATTCCCATTAAGATCTGGAACAAGACAAGGATGTCCACTCTCACCACTGCTTTTCAATGTAATACTGGAAGTCCTAGCCAGAGCAATAAGACAAGAGAAAGACATACAAGGAATCCAAATAGAAAAAGAAGAAGTCAAACTGTCACTATTTGCAGATGATATGATAATATACACAGAAAACCCCAAAAACTCCACAGAAAAACTAATTCAAGTAATCAATCAGTTCAGTAAAGTGGCTGGATACAAAATCAACATGCAAAGGTCAGTAGCCTTCCTATACACAAAAAATAAATCTGAAGAAGAAGAAATCAGAAAAAACATCCCTTTTATTATCAAAAAAAAAAATGAAATACTTTGGAATAAATCTAACAAAAGAGGTAAAGGACCTATACAAAGAAAACTATAAAACACTGTTAAAAGAAATAGAAGAAGACACAAAGAAATGGAAAGACATCCCCTGCTCATGGATTGGAAGAATAAACTTTATTAAAATGGCCATCCTACCAAAAGCAATATACAGATTCAATGCTATTCCAATAAAAATTTCAATATCATTCTTCAAGGAAATAGAACAATTATTGATGAAATTCATATGGAATCACCAAAAACCCCGAATAGCCAAAGCTCTCCCCCAAAAAAGAAGGGAATGGAGGCATCACACTCCCAGACTTCAAACTATACTACAAAGCCATAATCATCAAAACTGCATGGTAGTGGAACAAGAACAGACACACAGAACAATGGAATCAAATAGAAAATCCAGAAATAAACCCACAAATTTATGGTCAACTAATCTTTGACAAAGGAGCAAAGAATATGCATTGGAGCAAAGAAAGTTTGTTCAATAAATGGTGCTGAGAAAACTGGGTCGCTACATGCAAAAGAATGAAGCTTGACCACTACCTCACACCATGCACAAAAATCAACTCAAAATGGATTAAAGAACTAGACATAAGACCTGAAACCATAAAATACATAGAAGGAAATATAGGCGAAGCACTACACGATATGCACATCAAAGACATCTTTACAGACACATCACCCAAAGCAGTGATAGTGAAGGCAAAGATAAATAGCTGGGACTACATCAAATTAAAGAGCTTCTGCACAGCAAAAGAGACAATAACAAAAACAAAGAGAAACCCCACCAACTGGGAGAACATTTTTGCACACAACACTAATGATAAAGGACTGATCATAAAAATCTACAAAGAGCTGATGAGACTCAACAAAAACAAAGGAAATAATCCAGTCAAAAAATGGGCAGAAGAGCCAAAAAGAAACTTCTCTGAAGAGGAAATGCAAATGGCCAACAGGCATATGAAAAAATGCTCAATATAACTTGCAATAAGGGAAATGCAAATCAAAACTACAATGAGATACCATCTTACACCAGTGAGAATGGCACATATTAAAAAAACTAGCAACAACAAATGTTGGCGAGGTTGTGGAGAAAAAGGAACTCTTGTGCACTGTTGGTGGGAGTGCAAACTGGTCCAACCACTATGGAGAGCTGAGTGGAGATTTCTTGATCTACTAAACATAGAGCTTCCATATGATCCAGCAATTCCACTCCTAGGTATTTACCCAAAGGACACAGAAACATCAATTCCAAAGAACACCTGCACCCTTATGTTTATAGCAGCACTATTTACAATAGCTAAGCTTTGGAAACAACCCAAATGCCCGAAAATAGATGAATGGATCAAGAAGATGTGGTACATGTACACCATGGAATATTACTCAGCATTCAAAAAAGATAAACACATGCCATTTGCAGCATCATGGATGGCGCTGGAAGGGATCATGATCAGTGAAATAAGCCAGAAAGAAAAAGAAAAATAATGGATGGTCTCACTCATAGCAGGAATCTAGAAAAATTACATAAGGGATCAGGAAAAAGAATAACTATAAGAAAGAAAATACCAAAATCAACAAACAACTATGAACCAGAGACACTCTATGGGGGTTGGGGACGGGGAAAAGAGGGCTTGGGGTCAAAATAAGGGGGTTGTAATTGTAAGGGGAATATAAAAATAAAATTTAAATTTAAAAAATAGGAAGACATTGCCCAGATGGAAACTGAACAGAGAACAAAGGCTAATTATGGGGAATGGTCAATGAACTGAGCTAATCCCTCTTAGGAAACTTCTCAGCATGGAGACAGAACAAATTATCGGTGCACACAGCAACATAAATGAATTTCAGATGCTTTATGCTGAACGAAAGCAGAAATAAAACCTCCCATAGGGATTCCATTTTATGACTTTTCGCTAAGGCCCAACTCCGCAGACAGGCAGGGATCAGCCCTGGCAGCGCAGGTGCAGAGGCGTGACCGCCCAGGGCGGGGGAAGGACAGAGAGGGCTTGTGCGGTTCTTCCAGGCGGCTGTGGCCACGTGACCCTCCGCGCGCTGTGTCCAAACTTACAGACTGTTTAATAACGGGGAGGGTGTTTGTGTCTGGAAACGGTGGTTCAATAAGGAAAATAGAAACTGTGGCAGGTGCAGTTTCCCAGGGGCACTCGCTCACGGAGAGGGGGTGCAGGTGTCCAGAGGACAGAGAACAGCCCCAGTCAGGGAGGCGGCAGCATCAGGTCCTCCTGGAACTTTCCTGACTGTTAAGTGTGGTGCTCACCATCCAAATGCGATTTTACTCAGAAGTTTTGGGCATTTTTTTTCAATAATCGAGTTTTCCTCTTCACACATGGAACAAATGTTTCCTTCTCTCTGTCCTTCAATGCATCCCTGTTTCCTCAGCTCACAGCCCTGTGCAGCAAACACTGGGACAGCCTGGCCTGAGCCCTAAACCACTCCTGACACTCAGGCTGCAGAGTCTGCATGGGGGCTGGAAGAAGGGGAGACTCAGGACCTCTGATCAGGGGAAACCTATAAATATATACTCTGAAGATTTTATTTGAAATTTCCCAGAACTGGATAGAGAACAAAGGTTACTTATGGGGACGAGTGAACAAACTCGTCCATCCCTCCATGGAAGCTTCTCAGCAAGGGCGATGCAATGACGTATGGATGCACACAGCAACATACATGAGTTTCAGATGCTCATTGAGCTGCTCATGCCTGTCTCCAACCTCCTGGGGCTGGAGGAGAGTGTGACCCCGACAGGGTCGTTTTCTGTCTCACTTCTCCATGGCCTCGTGTCACTGCGGGAGATCATAACTGCTGCCTCCTGACTGACAGTAATAATCAGCCTCATCCTCAGCCTGGGCCCTGTTGATGGTCAGGATGGCCGTGTTCCCCAAGTTGGAGCCAAAGAACCAGTCAGGGATCCCTGAGGGCTGGTCGTTATCATGGTAAATGACCATCACTGGGGCCTGGACTGGCTTCTGCTGGTTCCAGTGAGCTCTTCTACTTACAATGCTGTTTCCTTGACAGGTGATTCTGACCATCAATCCCAGGACCACTGACACTGAGGGTGGCTGAGTCAGCTCATAGGAGACCACAGAACCTGCAAGAGAGAAGAGTAGACGTAGACTGGAAGATGCAAGACCTATTCACAGAAGATGCCCCTCACCTCAAATCCCCACATGAACTTGGACTCAGCTGCAGTATCTCAGGTTGCCATGGTGCCCAGTTCCACCAGTCTCAGCCCAATCATATGGATGGAGCATTTGAGCATGTGTCACCCTCTCCCCTCCTATAAACAGGCACAGCTGATGAGGCTGACACAGAGCAGTAAGCAAAGTGGGGGCCTCAGCACCCGAAAGCCCGATCCTGCACAGGATCTTGAGGAATCTGCCCCGACAGGCAGCCCTTGCTGAACTCAGATTCAGGGCCAGGCTGGTCTAGAGTCCAGGGCCTGGGGTGCAGTGAGTCTGGCTCAGCACCTGTGCAGTGAGCCTGGAGGCCCAGAAGGAAAGGGGTTCAGGCCATGGTGGGTTCCCTGATCCTGCTCCCTGAGGCTGAGTCTGGGAAGGACTGTCTTATCCCCTTGCTGGAGAGAGCTTCAGGGTGTGCAAATCAGCCAGGACACAGGCTGCTGCTTCGGGAGCTTTGAGGTTTCAGAGAAGACTCAGCCCCCAGGACACGGGAAGGGAAGGAGTATGTTCTAGAGTCCCCACCATCAATTCCTGGATCCTCCTTTTTTGATTGCACCATACATCTAATAGGCATGATAGTGTTGTGGGGAGACACCCTTCCCTTTCCCATTCAAGCAGGTGCACAGGACACATGTCTTCTTATGACGCCAAGTCTCCAGCCTAGGCTGAGTACTGATCATTATAGCGAACCCTGCTGCCTTTCATCAGTGCAGTCACTCCAAGGCAGCCCCCAAGGCCGGTTATCTTGGGGTTTCAACTGTTGCAGGTGTCTGCATTCCCCTTCCTGCAAGTTCAGAGCTGAGTGAAGGTAAAAACATTTTGCTGTGTGGGCTTGAGCTCAGTGATAACCTCAGCGCTGTGAGTTACTATGTCTCTCCTGTGAACCCCCAGTGTGTGTTTCTCTATTATTAAAGCCCAAGGAAACGGACATGGTCACTCCAAGATCTCTGCTCTCAGGTGGCTGCAGTCGTCCAGAACCCTCTGTCTCTGGCATCACCAGTCCCAGGGATGAACATGCTGCCATGTGCTTCCCTCCCCTAAGGGTCTGAGCCTCCTCTAGGAGACTGTCTCCAGGCCCAGGCAGCAAACTGTCCTTTGGTGCCTGAGACCTCTGTTCCCCTGCTGCTCCTTCTGGGGGTCACAGTAGTGAGTGATGTCCATGGTGTCCAGAGTCCTGTGCTGTCCCACAGAATGTTCTCCCATTTCTGTGGGAGTTATCAGCATGACTGTGAAGAGTCATCACTACTTTCTTGGGAACTGCGCACAATGTTACTCCCTCAAAATGAGTCTCCACATGATAAATGTGGAAAGGTGACCAGGAGAGGTGACCTGTACGGAGGGATAGCAGGGTGGACAGGGTTCTGAGAAAATATTAAGTAAAGCATCTCCCTCAGAATGGCTTGTAGAAGGCCTTCCTTGGTATGGGACTTTGAAACAGAACAGAGAGGATAATTTGTGTTATAGAAGTGAGCTCACCTGTCCCCCGCACTGCTCAGCAGTCACCTTCCCAGGACAAGAGCTGCCTGTGGTCTCCTAGTGCCCCAGCTCCTGTCATCAGTTTGACCATGAGAACTGAGTCTAATTTGCACTTGTTTGGTTTGACCTGGACTTGGGTGTGGCAGCTCCCTCACTAATTGGTCACCATCTAACAGCACAGGCTGTTAGCCTGTGCAGTACCATCATCTGCCTCCCCTGTACATTCATGTCATCACTTCCACAGTCTGTCTGTCTGCACACAAGGCTACTGTGTCACTTTATTCCAAATATTACCCATAAGCCATGGTGTGCATGGATGTTGTGTTGTACCTGTCTTTATAACATTTTTTTCTTACATCTTAATTCTGTAAATTCCCTGGACACATTCAAGTCTTGCACTCAACCTGCTTTTTTACTCTCTTCCGAGGCACCATGTGCCTAAAGTTTGGACAAATTCTCCTACTACTGAGTAAAGCTCTCCTGACAGGCAACCAATGCCTTAATAGGATCTGTCTCTTCTGACCAGGGAACAAGCAAATATGACTGTGTGTGCCTGTGTGTGTGAAGGTGTGTGTGTGTGTGTGCGTGTATGTGTGGTGCATGTGTGTGTGTGTGTGTGTGTGTGTGTATACTCCATACAAGAAGCTCCCTCTGATGTCTCAGGGAGGTTATTTCTCCTGCCCATCCTCTTCCTCCCTCAACCCTGCACTCATCTGTGCTTTAGAATCTTTGCTCAACTCCAGAGCTGTCTCTGCAGTTCCTCGTGCTCTGCCCTCTCAGTCTTTCCACCTTGGTTGTCAATCCAAACAACTCCTGTGGTCAAGGAAACGCCTGGAGCCCTTTCCTGTAGTCAAAAATCCACTCAGGACTCACATCTGCAGAGAATGCCCGAGAGCTGGGGTGGGGCAAAGGACTTGGGACCCGGGTCACCTCCTCTTGCCTGTGTCTCATCCTCCTGGGGCTGGAGGAGAGTGTGACCCAGATGGGAATGGGGTTTTTGTCTCACTTCCCCTTGGTCCTGTGTCACTGTGGTCTGAGTATAACTGCTGTCTACTGACGCACAGTAATAGTCAGCCTCATCCTCAGCCTGGGCCCCACTGATGGTCAGGGTGGCTGTGCTCCCAGAGCTGGAGCCTGGGAATCGGGCAGGGATCCCTAAAGGCCTGTCACCATTAATATCAACGAGCATCACAGGGGCCTGGCTGGGCTTCTGATGGTACCAGCTAGCAATAATGTTTATTCCTTGGCAGGTGATTGTGGCCGTCTGTCCCAAGGCCACAGAGACTGACTGTGGTTGACTCAGCTCAGCAGTGACCACTGAACCTGCAAGAGGAGAGGAGAAGAGATGTGAGTGTGAGGATGAGGGTCATTCCCAGAGGGCACAGCCCCTGCTGCATCCCCTGTGCTAAGCTGGTGTCAAGGCCCACTCTGCTCCCTGGTGTCTGTGTGGGCTGATCCCTAGGGCCAACAGCTGTGCAGATAATGAAGAGAGGGAGCAGGAGAGGGCTCCAGGCCATGGTGCAGATGTCGCAGGATCAGCTTCTAAGCCTGCGGCTGGGATGGGTGCTCAGGGCCTCTCTTATCCTCACGTGGCATGCAAATCTACTTCCTACATCCTTGTGGCCTTGCTAGGGCCTTTGAAGAACAGACAGAGCTCAGCTCATAGAAGACTGTGAAGTGTAACCTAGTGCCTGGTCTGCACTAGAGATTCTAAGACCTGTGGACACAACACACTCTCACACTCTCTCTCGCTCTCTCTCTGTCTCTGTCTGTCTCTGTCTGTCTCTCTGTCTCTCTCTCTCTCTCTCTCTCACACACACACACACACACACACACACACACACACACACACTTCCATCTGTACCCTGGATCACCCTGGTTTGGGACAACCCTCATCACTCTCTCTAGCGAGGAGAACACATGTGGGGTGGACATTGCAGGCTTGAGGAGGGAGCTGTGGGAACAGAGTTCACACTATATGAGCAGCCCAATTCCATCCTCACACAAGGACCTCAGTCTGTAACTTCAGGCAATAGTACTTGTTTATGTTTAAAGAGTGTACAGGATACATCACTGGAATGAAAGTGTAAGTAACGGTTCTTTGATGACACCAGACACGTGATATATGAAAGGAAGATGAATACACTTAACTCATCAAAATTCCTGTCTTTTGGTTAATAAAACCTCCTCCGCAGGAAAAAGAAACAAGTAACAGGCATGAGAAAACATTAGTAAAGACATCTCCGATGAACAGCTAGTGCAGAGAGGACACTAAGAAATGTGATCACTGAACAGTGAAGACACAACCACTAGGAAAGGAGACTAAGTGGAACCAACACTTGTGTGGAGGATGTAGGATGGCGGGAGCAGGAGCAGGTACTTGTCATGTATTTCTGGGAAATGCCAATGTAACCTGAGGAGAGGGTGTCCCCATATGCCCTCAGATTGGGTGATGTAGAAAATAGGACCCCTAATACGGTGGGGTGAGGAGAATGGGGCCCTCACACCTGACTGATGGGGTGAAAATAACCACAACTCTGGAAAGAGTTTGCAGGTGTCTGAAGAAACAAAACCTGCATTTCCCACACAGACCCGTGGTGGTTCTCTCAGACACTTACTTCAGATCCTGAGAAGTCATGTTCACAGAAGGTCGAATCACTAATAATCACGACACCTTTGTGCATAAGAGCTTCTCCAAGTGCTGTCCAGAGAGAAAACAGATGCTAGGCCTGGTGTTGATTAACCAGATGTTGTTTCATGAACCATGGAATCCTACTCAGCATAGAAAAGGAATTCTCTCTATTAGAAAAAAACATTTTATTATTTTAAGATTCATTTATTTTTTTTTATATAAGAACCAGGGTACAGGCCAGATGCGCAGGAGGGTTAGAGGATTCAGCAGAGACAGAGCAGGGAACAGAACAGGTAGACTGATGAAATACACTGCTGAGGGGAGGACCAGGTGCAATGGGAGAGGTCTGCTGTGCCATGTGGGACCCTCGTTGGCCAAGGGCGATCGAACCAGCGCTGCAGAGGCTGCAGACAGCTTCACAGCACTGTATTCAACCTCCTGCGACACCAGGGGAGGCCCTTAATTTTAATATACATATATTTTTACAACATTGTTCATTCTCCTCTCCGGTGTAATGCCCATAACATTCCCAACAATAGGTCACCCATGACCGTCACCATAGTCTCCTGTGCTCTTCCCTCCCCTGTTTTGATCCCTCTGCCTCACCCTCCCCAGCTGATTGTCTCTCATTTGTATTTTGCTACTAGTTTTGTCTTTTTTCCCCCTGATCCCTGGTTTGGTTTCCCTATTCCCTCCTGTAAGAGAAACCATCCGACATCTTTCTCTTTCCTTCTGACTTATCACACTGAGCATGATCAAAAAGGAAGGACCTCTTAAGGCAACAATAACTAAGAGGCATCCAGGGAGATGGTGCTGAGTGATAATGCCAGTGCCAAGGCTGCACTCAATAGTCACACGGGCAGTCTGGCTTCCCAGTTCCAGAAGGAACAGGGACCTTGTGGTTGCTTTGAAAGGACAAAAGTCTGGGGAGTTTGCACAGTCAAAGATCATTAGGAGCAAAGCAGGACAAATCTTTGAAACAGAAGCAGCAAAGCAAAGCTCCTGTTCCTGGGAGGGGACTAGAAAATGAGTTGCCATTGGTGGGATTGCAGAGGCTGCCTTTATTGCTGGGGTGGTAGGTGTTGGATTTGTTCTTCCTTTGATGGGGCTTTGTTTTGAATTTTTTGTGTTTCTCAGCTGCTGTTCCCTGGCCTGAATCTGTTCTGCTCTCTAGATGTGGGTGCTGCACCACCTCCCCTGGACTCTGTCTCCCCATGTCTGTGAGCTGTCTCCTGACCTTCATTGCCTAACTCAGTGGGACTCTTTTTTTCTAACCTATCCCCTCTGAAAAGACACTGTGAGATGAAAGAACAGTCAGAAATTAATGCCTGGGTTAGGACTGGAGGGCGCTGGCAGGAGGGGGAGACGTGTTCTTAAAGGTCAGCACTCAGGCCCCTTGGGCTAAGGGAACTGTTGGTATTTAGGGGGATCTAAGGGGGAATCTAAGAACCTCCCCTTGTTTTTTCTTATTAACTGTAATCATCATATAATTATAATTTACAATTTAATTTATGTGATATTACATCCTGTAACATAGAGTGTACAAACCAAGTAACCATCATTTATTTTCAGTCATTTTGCTATAATTATCCTGCAATTTACTGTTATGTGCATTATAAATTTCAGCATACATGGTCAGCACATATAGTTTTAGACAGTAAAATATCTTTTTAAGAGTTTTCAGCAATAGCATCTTATCTATGCAGGTATATTTCTGATTCTTTTCATTCCTTCTTGAAGATTCAGATTCTCTCTGGTATGATTCCTTCTGCCTGAGGAGGTTTTCTCCTATTGGTCAGCTTATGATTAACTCTGTGCTTTTGTTACTTAGAAAAAATAAACCTGGTGAAAATTAGGATCGTTTCTTCTTTCATCGTCTTAGGGATCTTAACCACCATCCTCGCAACTGCAGTTTCTCCTCACCTGCTTGATGAAGCAGGTGTGCTGTCCCGCTTATATATTGTCTCTTTGCTCTTCGTACCCTTAACACTGTCTTCTTCTCCTGTATCAAACAATTGATATTGTCTTTTGTGGCTTTAATTTTTTTTCTCCG